ATGTAAGTCATTATATACATATAGTACAACCGTTCTCAAAATAGGGGAACAAAATGATTACTATAAATAAAAAAGATTCATAGATATTTATCGAGGGCATTAATTCAACAATCGTGCTTTTGCCCTGTACAAGTAGCCCGCCCCCTGCCATTGCAGGGGTGGTCACTTGCCGTGTACAAGTGGCATAATTCTTAATTCAAAGTAGTTCCAGTAAAAGGAATGCTCCGTACCCTTGAAAATCCCCAAATTCGAGGGGAATATTCCCAGACAACTGATTGGACTTTGTTGTAAATATTTTATCGCAAGTGTACGTTATTGTAAATAAGTAAAATAGTGGGTTAAAGAGTCCAAATTATAGTTCCTGCAGAAACTATTATTTAACCGTTGATTTCCTATTTCTAACTTATATTTAAATAAAAACAAATAAAATTGATTTTAATGATTATCGTAAAAACTATAAATCTAAGAATACAACTAAAAAGTGCGAATGTAGACAATTTAAGATATTCAAATGACGGTTGAAATATCAAAACTATCTGTTTAATTTAAATCGCCAAACTATTTGTATCCAGTCAAATTCTTCTAAATTAATTTATTTACATCTCTCGGTTCAAACCAACCATACTTAATTAAGTCAATTCATTATCTCTAAGTGAATTAGAATAAGCCTTAATCAAGAGCATTCAACCACCAAATAATTTAATTAAAAACAACAAAATTAGTACAAGCGCACCCCTACTTTCTACCCAAATTTCGCTTTTTACTCCGTGCAATAAATAAATAACTCACATCTCTACTCTTTATTATGCGCAAATCATGAATTAGCGATTAAGTAATTCAAAGCATGAAGAAAAGGTAAAAACAACCCACAAACATCAATTGAAAATAAAAATATAATAACTACAATTCAAAATTAGGTTGCAATCATTTGTCCCAACTAATTGTTTAATTACACATCATGAAGTAGAAAAATATAGAAAAAAAATGGAGTACATCATCGAATTTGAAGGAAAAGAGGAAAAAGATGAAGATCTTACACCAAGAATCCACCTTCTTGTAAAAACCTTGAAACTCTAGTTTCTTGAATTATTGTCTTGATTTTTCTCTCTAATTTTTATCTTTTGAAACCTTCTCTTCTCCCTTTGCACGATGAATGATGATATGTGTTTATAGTCCCAAGAATAAGTCAAATTTCGAGCCATAATTTAATTCTAATGAGGGTTGACTTGAAATAAGAAAGCAATATGAGACCTGCTCGATTCAACACAGCTGCGATCGCATGAGCATTTGTTTGGCATTGTTGGTTTCTATTTCAGCTCACTTGCGATCGCTCCTTTTTAGACTTGCGATTTCATGGCTAAACTTTTTCTTCTTCATATAATTTGGTCCATGGACCTCCTTTACAGTTCAGCCTATGTACTTCTTAATTGTACTGTAGCCCTTCAACTTTCAAACTCGACATTGAATCAAGATTTAAGGGGGTTTCATAAATGCAATGGGTAAACAAGAAACTTTACAAAGTTCTTAGAGTGCTAATGTTAGCAAGTTACCGCGTCACATGATTTCCCAAGAGGGAACTACAATGAATAAAATTATGTTAGTAGTAAAGCACAATAGCTGCTTTACAAAGTACCCCATAGATCATAATATATACACAAACAAGAGAGAAATCGGAGAGGTGAAGAGTGTCATACATGTATACAAGTTCTTCCATCGTACCCCAACACCGGGATGGTGCCATTTAGGTAGTTGCGCCGTATATTACCGACCAAACATTGATCTCTGAAAGGTAAGCTTTAGAAATCATTTTTGGGTTGGTCGCCCATGCTACATTTTCTTTGTTGGTCTTGTTCATGAACCTTAATTTACCAACCAAATACGGTATCTCTATTATTAGATATAGCGACCAATTTAAGACAAAGCTATGGTTGCTGAATGGTAAACCTTTTAGCGACCATCGTGAGCTGGTCGCTAATGTCTTTCATAGACAGTGAATCAGTGCGACCACTATTTTTTGGTCACTAAAGACGTTCGTGACAATAAAATAGCTTTTACTGACCACTTCGTTTGGTCGCTAGAAACATTTTTTTATTTTTTTGTAGTGATATGTGGTGAAATGTAACTCATGCCGCAGTTTGAATAGTGTATGTTAACGTTTGTGATAATTTGAATTGATCAAAAAATGTCATTTTGTAACTCACGAATATAATTAATAAAATTTCAGTTTATACTACTATGAGGGGAAATGATGTAGTCTAAATTTGGAAACTAATAATTATTTTGACGGTTTTAAAATTTTATTATTTTATGATAAATCTCATATTGTTGCTTTTGAATTCTGATTGAGTTAATTAAGTTTATTATTGTATTTTGATATATTTTTAATATAAGAAATTGAGTATACTCAATTATGTGTTCAAATTCTCGGTGTACAGTGAAATGAAAAAGTCTTTGATGCCTTACTTTTTGGCATTCATTAGTGAAACAACAGGAATTAGAAAGTTGCTCGTGATTTTTGTAATTTCACATTTCTGTATGCACTTATAGAATTTTGACAAGTTGAAAGCTAAATAAAAATTTTTTTAAAATTATGTTATTTAAAGTAGTTAGGTTCAATATTGTAATTGGCAATCCTGTGAACAAAAATGACTTAATTGAACATGTGTAAAAATCAAAAAGAGAAGTGCAATTTTGTATAATTGAGTTAGGTAGCCTAGGGTTTGAGTTCAAGTTTGGAAACAAAGAAAAAGCAGAACCGAAATTTCGATAGTCTCACACCTGGCTATCGTTCAAGCGACAGAAACAAAACCACTGTCGCTTGCTTCTCACCCAGGCGTCGCTCAAGCGACATGCCCTTGGTTCGAGCAATAGTGTTACGCGACTAACCTTTGTTCGCGATTTTGGAGAGTTTTACACGGCTTATACTACTTATACACCTCCAATAACTACAGATGCTCTAGCACGAAAATGTATGGTTGTCTCATTGTTATAACATATTTATATCATCTTTTGAGAGATCCAAGAACACAATTCATTGATGGAATCATTCATATCATTCTTGAGATCCGCAACCAAGTTTTGGGAAACATCAAGGTTCGTGAATCCAAAACACCTTACTTCTTTAACACTTTGAAGAATGTACTCTCTCGATCGGGCATTGGGAAAGGTGGACTGTAAGCACAAGAATTGAATATTCTTGGAATTCCACTTGGAAAAGACAATTAAAGAAGATCGGGAAGTTGGAAGGAGACAGCAGATCTTGGAAGCTACATGAAGTAGATCGAGAAGTCTAGTAGAGTTGGCTAGACAGCATCTAACTGTAGAAGATTGGGAAGCTGGTGGGTACAGCAAATCTTGGAGATTACAAGAATTACAATAGCAAGAACTACAATAGCAAGAACTAGTAGAATTTGTTAGGTTGGAAACGGACTGTAGTCCATATTGTCTACAGTGGAGGTAACTGACTTGATCCCGAGATTTTTATCCAGTTGGGGTTTCTCCGTCATCATTTTGGTGTTCGTTATTTATTGCTTTCTTTATTACTGCGGTATTCAAATATAGGATAATTGGACATGTATGCTTATTCATCAAAAGTGACTTGTTGTTTTTTATTGATTAATTCTGCACGTAAGGTCAAAATTAAAAACGGATAATTATTAACCATTCGATAACTTAGTAGCCATTAATTTGATAATCCGTAGCTTTCAAAAGTGTTATGAAATGTGTAACATTTCAAGTAAAGAAATTTGTGTATGACTAGACCATTTTTAATATGATGTGTATTTATATTGATACCAGGCCTTTTTTTTTTTGGCATCTCTTTTAATTACGCTAAAAGTTCTCAAGTTTTGTTTATTGTTGCACTCATGTCCTTAATTTTTATTTATTATAACTACTGGCTAATTATTTTTTAATAATTCAAAATCTATTTGAAAATTGAATCGCATTGTCCAAGGCCCAGCAGTTTTATGTTCAAACCCTTTAGCCCAATTTCCAAATTATCCGCTTCTCCTAGAATTTATAGGAAATAATAAATAAAAATATGTGGTAATTACACGAAACCCTATGTTTCAATATCCAACTTCTCGTTGAGTTACTTAGATCTTTCTGACAATATGTTTACTGGTACCGTGACCCAATGCATAAGAAGCCTTTCCAAACTCGAACATTTGAATCTTCATTCAAACAACTTTGAAGACATAATCACTGAATCACACTTCTTTAATCTTTCCCAGTTACAATATTTGTACTTGTCTTCAAACCCAAGTATCTCGTTCAATATCAGTTCAGGATGGAACCCTCCTTTTCAACTAACACGTGTATCTTTGGCGGGTTGCAAAGTGGGTCCACATTTCCCCCACATGGCTTAGAACACAAACGAGAATAGATCATCTTGATATCTCTAATGCTGAAATTTCAGTCACCTTCCCTGATTGGTTTCCAGAGCCAAGTTCAAAATTATCAATTTTAAATTTATCGCATAACAATTTTCATGGTGTCATTCCTGATTTGTCGTCGAAGTTCTCGTTTTCCAATTCCATAGATCTGAGCTTTAATCATTTTAATGGTTCATTACCAATTTTGCCTCAAAATGCATCTATAGTGGATTTGTCGAGTAATGAGTTTTCTGGGTCAATTACCAATTTATGCAATGAAACTAGTTGCTATTGGGATTTTCTTGACCTCTCGAATAACTTATTGTCTGGACAGCTTCCAGATTGTTTTGCAAACCTAGCAAATTTGAAATATCTTAATCTGGCGCATAATAATTTCTCTGAAAAGATCCCTTCACTAAATATCAGTTTATCATTGCACTTACAAAACAACAGTTTCACTGGAGAGATTCCAACTCGTTGAGGAATTGTACTTTCTTGACTTTCATTGATCTTTCACGAAATAAGTTGACTGGTAAAATACCTATATGGGTGGGAGATGCTTGGAGTGAATTGGTCTTTCTGAGTCTCAGGTCCAATGAGTTCTTTGGTAATATTCCTTCAACCATGTGTCATCTTGCACACTTACAAGTGTTGGACTTTTCTTCAAACAAGATTTCTGGTGGTATACCAAAATGCCTAAACAATTTCACTGCTATTATTCAAGTGGATTCTGAGTTTGATGGGGCATTTCGTCTTCAATACTATGGAGGCTTCGAGAGTGCATTTGTAACATGGAAAGGAAAGGAGGGCAAGTACATAAATACTCTTAATCTGGTGAAACTCATTGATCTTTCAAACAACAATTTAGTAGGTGATGTTCATGCTGAAATTACCAGTCTTGTAATGCTAGTTGGATTGAACCTTTCAAGAAACAACCTATCTGGATTCCTTCCTACAAATATTGATCGACTAAGGTCTTTGGATTTTCTTGATTTTTCAAGAAACCACTTCTCTGGTGGTATTCCTAATGGCGTTTCTCAATTGGATCAACTTGGAGTGTTAGATTTATCATAAAATAACTTGTCGGGCAAAATTCCAAAAAGCAGTCATTTACGAACTTTCAATGCTTCTGCATTCGAGGGAAACCCTGGACTTTGTGGCCTTCCACTTACAAAAGCTTGTCCAAGAGATGAAATTGCTCAAGTCCCAATGACCGGTGATAAAGCTGATGGGATGAAAAACTTGGAAGATGAGGACAAGCTTATCGATGATGGATTTTACATTAGGATGGCAGTTGGTTTCATTTTTGGATTTTGGGGAGTATGTGGCACTTTAGCATTCAATAACTCGTGGAGGATTGCATTTTTTCACGTTGTTGAATAGCGTAATGGATTGGTTGTACGTAAAGATAGTATATCGTCAAAATCCGACTTAGAGAAGCATTTCACAAATTTGTAAAATTTTAGTTCGTGTGATATTGTCTACTATCTAACTTTTGCAATGTCTAAAAGTTAGATGCTACTATTTTACCATTGTATCTAGTTGTATTGTATTGAAAGTTGTATTGGATCAAACACATATATACACGTGTTAATAAACTATTTGTGTTTAAGCTTTCGTATATAAGCTCGTAAAATCTCAATTACATAATTCATTAGTTATTTCCACGGCGGGCACCCCACCCAAACTCTCCCATTTCCACAACCACCTGNTTTTTTTTTTTTTTTTTTGGTATTGTTATCCTTTATTTTTCTTTTCTTTTCTTTTTCCCTCGAGAAATATGTATTGATGGAAGATCAAAATATCTCATTAGAAAATTACATGTCCACCATATGTGCTTCTTTAGTAGAATAATTTTGGGACTTCATCCAAGTGGGGGATTTATATGCCAATTTGTAAAAGATTAGGGATCTACGTGGTTAAAAAGTAAATGAGATACAAATGCTATATTTCCCAAAAATGTGAACTCCAACTCTAATTTTTTTTTCCTATAGATTATTGGATTATTATATGGCCCATTTACATCTTTTATTTAGTGTCTGTTTGGTACACTTTAAAAAGTTGCTAAAAATTAAATTAAAGACAACAATTAATTTTATTCACAAATTAATGAGGCCTACAACTTTTGTCAACTTCAACCACATATTTCATTAATTTTTATCGAAATCTATTAAAACTTTTATCAAAAATTTAATCAAACAAACCCTTAGATTAAATATGATCCACTTGTGGGTTAATAAATTATTATCGTGTTCTCGAACTAAATAACGAAAAAGATAATATGCAAAAAAATTAACTATGGGTTTTGATATAGGACCGTTTTTGACAGAGGTGGTGACCGACCCTCACAATAGGGGTTGGGGTCTACTTTTTTTTGAATTTTTTTATTCGTGTGGGGTCGGGTGCTGTGAGAGGCTGTCAAAGTAATAAAGCTCAATCATGTACTTTTGTTCGAGGATATCTCAAACTTCGTGATTTCTTCAAAAACTTGTCACTTTTTATATTCAATAAAGAAATTGTTGATCAGATTAGATATGAGTTGGCAATTGTTTTTTTTTTATTCATCGATTAATTATTAGCAAAAGATAAATAAAAAAATTTATTTAGCTCCTATATTTGGTTTGGGGAAAAAAAAAATTAGTAGATTTTGATAAGAGTTTATGAAATGTGTGATTAAAAGTTGATAAAAATTATGCATCTCATAAAATCTATAATTTAAAATGAGTTTTAAAAAATTAGGACGGAACAATAACCTACTCAAAACCTGTCAAGCTACATATTACAGGTTTTAAAAAATTAGGACGGTCAGAACTCTGTATGCATACTTTTTATTTTATTAATTATGTGTTAATGAAAATTCATGAAAACAAAAATAATTACTCATAAGGTGTGATAAGAGGTTGTTACCAAAGTCACTGCTTACGCATATGAGAGAAACATAACATTGGTTTAAAATATATTTTCTTTTTTTGTCTATTCTCAACTGGAAAAGAAAAAATGTATTCATTCACTTACTTAACCCTTAGCGGGTCATTCTTGCCCCACCCTTTATTGGAAATAAAGGGGGATGCTTAAGAGGAGGAATTGAATAAACGGATGTTATTACTGAACAGTGCTCAAAAATACTTGCGACTGCACATACAAATAAGCACATATGTTATTCAAGAATACAATCAATAATACTCAGATAAATTAAATCGCCTTTCTCATCTAATTTGAAGAGCAAGAATGGGGTGAAGAGGATAACCTATTGCATGGAAAGGCTTCACGTTTGGGATATTTGACATCTAAAATGAAATAAAAGATGAGACAAGCTTTATTGATAAAGATGAATCAGATCCTATACTTTGAATATATTTCATGAATGTATGGGTATATGGTCATCAAATATGCATAGTACTAGGAAAATTTAGCTGCCTCCGAAGTATCCCTTCAACTTCAATGCTTTCATACTTCTCATTTGTTGCTTTCAAAACCTGCTTCAGGTCTTCTATTTGAGTTTTATATTTTTCATTTTCAATTTGAATTGACAATAGCTATTCTTTGGCTTCTCTCACCTATGAAGAAACTCCATGCAAGGCTGATGCTAAACTTTTCATTGCTTTCTTGCTCTTCTCTTCTTCATCCCTAAAATTTTCCAAGTCATTTATGAGCTTATGTTTTTCTTCCAATAAAGTTTGCACACTATCTGTTGCAAGCTTCTCATTGTTTGAAGCCTAAATTCTTTCTTCTTTAATAGTTTCAAGCTCAGACACATGATATTCAACTTTTTTCACCGTTTGAGAAGCTTCTTCCTTGGCTAGTTCAAGGTTGTATTCTGATTCCTCAAGATCCTCCTCCTGCTTTCTAATTGTGATTTCCAGCAATCTTACTTTTTCTTTGAAGGATGTGATCTCAAATTCTGCATCGTGCAATGAATCATTGCTTCCTTCAAGTTGTTTTGTGACAGACTCCATAGATTCTAAAGCAGATCTCTCCAATTTCTTTGCTTCCTCTGCCTGAACTTCTAACTCATGAGCCCTCTTCTGCAACTTCTCCACTAAATTATATGCATAAGATTCAACCATTTATGCAGCCTCCAAATCGATATTAAGTTTCTTTAAGGTGGCCTTTTTCTCTGGCAATTTCTCCTCATTAATATTTGCCCTTTCAAGTTCTTGTCTCAAAGAATCAATCTCCCATTTCAGTACTTCCACCAACTTCTTGTTCTCATTAGCTTCCATTTAGATTTTCTCGCATCGAGCATGGAATTCAATTGGACCAAATTGCAGAAAGAATCTCCACTTTTCTACATAAATCTCTATATTTTTTGATGTATCCTTAGCATGGCTGGGTGCCTGGTTTTTTTGCATCAGCAGCCATAGCCAACTCTTGCTTCACCTTATCAAGTTCCTGATTGGCAGATAGGAGAGCTGCCACATCCAATGCATGTTGGTTTCTCACTGCTTCAATATATCTCTGCCATTATCCTTCTTTTGGGTTGCTTCAATGCTAGCTTGTTCTTTCTCAACTGCTCTGAACTTTTCAATCTCAATACTCTTAAGCTTGTTTTTGAGCAGCCAAAGCCTCTCCTAGTTTCCCATCCGCTTCCCCAGCTAACCTTTATGCATCAATCAATTCATCAAGATTTTTTGCTTTTTCTTTCTCAACAAAAACTAATTCTCCTTGGCCTACTTAAGATTTTTCCCAGAGAGATTTAATTCCTCCTGAAGTTCCTATAGCTTTGAAGTCCAAGCTGGGTTTTTTTTAAGGAAAAGGAAAAATCAAAGTCAAACAGTGTAATAATCTAACGGTGGCAAAATTTCAACCACTACTATAACCAAATGCAGCCATTCAATATGAAAAGGTAATCCTCCGTGGTTGGAAAGAATTTTACTGAAACTTACATTAGGTGTTGTGCTGAGCTTTGGAGACCGCCGGTCTACAACAGGCCATAGGGTGACCAGTTTTGAAGTTCAATCAAAGTTGAGAATTTTGTAGAGGAGAGGTCAAATCAGAAGATTTAGCCAATGCACAGTAAACTTGATGACCTAGGAGTTGTTGGTGATGCTCTTTTGTTGTGAGTTTCAAAAGCAGGAGATCTATGTAATCACGAAACTTTAATTGCTAGGTTCCATTATCAAAACTCCATTATTCAAACAATGGAAGATCTAGCCAATGCACAGTAGTCAAAAATCAAATGAAATAAAATGTTGATTATTATCCAAAGACAATCTTTCCACAGAAATCACCTATCACAACAAGAATTGAGTACGTCAAAATTATGCTTGAGAATCATCCACCCCTTTTACTAAAATAACTCAATAGAAACAAAATTCAACAATGATCAAGGATTGGATTAAAAAACAAAGTAATTTTCAACTTCTGTACATTATGTACAAACACTCCAAACCAAAGAATAATCCCAATTCATATCCCTGTACATACATACAAACACACAGAATACTGTAGAATACAATACTTACTTGGACTTAGTAGACATGATGGATCGAAAGCAAATTCTGCAGCAAAAAGGCAAACGAAGCTAAGAGTGGGTTGAATTGAATAGGAGAAGCTAAAATTCAGCTGACATTATTATCTTCAGTAAGAGAATGTATGTATGTATGTATGTATGATAGTGTGTGTGTGTGTGAGAGAGAGAGAGAGAGAGAGAGTACCCCTCGTGCTAAACTGCTAATCATATTCCACAAACAATTAGTACTCAAGTGGGATGTTGACAAAATGAAGCTCAGATGTATGCAAACTCATCACATGAAGAAAACCACATACTATGTTCTTGAGTAAATTGTTTGAACACTCACTCTCTCTCTCTCCCCCCAAAATCCCCCCACCCGTGAGAAAAGCCCCAATCCCTCCTGTCAGAGAAAAGCCCCAAATCCCTCCCGTCTCCTTCCCCCAACCCTAAATCGCGGCCGGTCCGGTTCCAATTGGCTACCCCACTGCCCTCTGAACTGAAGAAATAAAAATCCCATTGTCTGAACATGGAGGGACCACATGGAGGTATATGTTCCCATTGTAATTTCACACCGCATTTTGTCGTTCACTCTGTCTGCCACTAAATGAAAACATCCACGTGTGTAAACAAACAATGGTTTTGTTTTGTAGTAGTTTCATTTACCTACTGTACGCCATTTTTTATATATATGTGTTTGTTTTCTTTTCTTTTCTTTTGTGGGTGATACTTCAAGTATTCGAACAATTTAAGGTCATTCGTTATTGATTTTCACTTGAAATGTACAGGCTGCTCTCGAGACCCAGAAGATTCGGACTACATTACCTCTGCGAATGATTTGGAGGTTGAAGATGAGAACGTCACTGAAGGGCTTGAAGTAGGAGATGACGGGGATGGTGAGCAAGACCCGGACTTCAATGATTCTGATCGAGATGTAGATGGTGATGCTGCGATGTTCGATCATGATATAACTGACGACGATGACCCAGACTTTGTTGCTTCTGAGAATGAATTGGACTTGCAAGATGACATTTTTTACGATGGTAATGTGACAGCTGGGATTGAAGTTGGTCTGAATATGAATGAATTAGAGCAAGATAACAAGTTAGTGAACACACATGAAGATGAAGGAGAATTTGAAGCTGATGATAAATTGAAGTATCCGTCTTCCGAAGAATTGGTTTCTGGTGATTCATCGAATGAGGACGAGGGCTGCAAGTTTCCAGAGTTTGTGGCAGAGACTCAGATGAGCAATCCAAAGTTCGAGGTGGGACAACTTTTCAGGGATGTTATCGAGTTCCGTAAAGCAGTAAGAAATTACGGTGCGGTGAATAGCTATAATGTTAAATTCAAGCCAAATGATGCGAAAAGAGTTCAGGGTGTTTGCAAAGATGGGTGCAAATGGAGGATTTGGGCATCATATATGGGTGACAAGGATAGGGTCCAAGTGAAGTCGTACATTCCGGACCACACCTGCAGTCGAGAGCGCTACAACAGGAATTGTAATTACAATTTCTTGGCACGACGTTATATTAACCAATTCAAGGCTGACCCGGAATGGAAAACAAGGAGGATCATTGCTACGGTTAAAGAAGACCTACGGACTGAGATTAGCAGGAATGTTGCTTGGAAGATAAGGAGATATGCAAGAGAATTGCTGCATGGAACTATTGAGGATCAGTTCGCAGCGTTGAGGTGCTACGGTGCTAGTATTTTACTTACAAATCCTAGGTCCACTGTCGTCATAGCTACCAATACTCAACATATATTCCAGGGGATTTACATTTGCTTCAAGGCTTGCAAGACAGGTTTTGTTAACGGTTGTAGGCGGGTTATTGGGGTTGATGGGTGCCATTTACGTGGAATCTTTGGTGGTGTACTGCTTACTGCTGTTGGAAAGTTCCCTGAGGCGAAGCATAGGTTTTGTGTGTGCCACATGTACACCAACTTCTTCACAGCCGGGTTTAAAGGGAAAACGTTGAAGGACTTCCTGTGGAGAGCTGTGAAGTCAACAACCGGTGCCGACTTTATTCATTGGATGCATCAGATTCGTAATGTAAGTGAAGGAGCTTACGAGTGGTTGATGGAAAGGCCTGCACAAGAGTGGAGTAAGTCACATTTTCCGGTGTTCTCAAAATGCGATGTGTTATTGGACAACGGCTGTGAGGTGTTTAATAAGACATTGTTGGAAGATCGAGAGAAGCTTATTCTATCAATGCTTACTTCAATGCAATCGACGTTCATGACTAGAATACAGAAACGAAGGGATATAATGAGGAGGTACAATGGCAGGCTGTGTCCAAACATTAAAAAACGTGTTGAGAAGCTTGTTGAGGCTTCAAGAGAATGTATACTACATCTGTCGGGAGGTCCTAAATGGCAGGTTGATTGTAGCTACGGGACGTACATTATGGACCTTGAGGAAAGAACATGTGCTTGTAGAAGGTGGGAGTTGACTGGAATTCCTTGCATACATGCAATGGAAGTGATACGAGAATGTAGAAATGAATCCGAAGATTTTGTTGACACTTGCTACTCTGTTGACGCATACCTACGTTGCTACAACAACATCATGAACCCAATGAACGGCAGAATGCTATGGCCCCAGGTAGACGGTGAGATTGTTATTCCACCACAGTGGAAACAAACTGGAAAGGGCAAGAGGCAAATGAAAAGGAGAAAACAGGCAGAAGAGATGATTGTGCATTCACGTGTTCCGTTTGCCGTCTACGTGGACACAACAAACGTTACCACGATAGGAAGGATGCACCAAATAATGTGAGTTGTAATATTTTTTTTCTTATAGTTGTAATATTTTTTTTTCCAACATTCTGTACAACTAAAGCTTTTAAATGTCTACTGCAGGATTGGTTTGAAGGAGATATAGAACCTATTGAAGTCCGAAGCTCACTTGATGTCACCCCAAGGGTAATCTAATACACCAGTCTCCAAAACAATGTCTAAATAGATAAAACTGAAACTAATGTTCTTGTCGTTCACCTTAGGGAAAATTGGCTCCGGCCAAAAGAAGAAGAGCATCGTCCAGCAATGCATCAACCACAGTGGAAAATACTGGCCAGACCATGGAGGCTACGGTAGAGGTTCGGGAGAATGTGACATTGGAAGATACGGTTGTTAATTTCCAACAACTTCACGAGAGTGAGTCCTCACAATTAAGGGCTGCTAGAGCTGAAGCTCGACGAAACTCCAAGATCACCGCTGCTACTTCTGAACGGGGTGTTTGAAGATCTGGGATTGTCATCAACTGCTTTCACTTTTGGATGACTTTAATGATAGTTTTGTGATAGGCTGAATGGGTAGTGAATACAAGCCTTCAGTTTTTTTTGTTGAACGACATATATTTGTTAAGAGATCAAACTCAAAATGATACTCATGTAATTTGTATATGCAATGCCGTTCAATTTTTTGTGAAACCTATGACGGGCAAACTTGATTCTTAAGTGAATTGCAATGATGTTCAATGTTTACAGTTCTTCAGTTTATTCAATTTTCAGTTACATATGTTTGATTTATGATTACTAGTGCAGACTTGATAAACATTAGTAAATGGTATTGCTGGAGTTGTTGCTACAGGTTTCAATTGCAGTGGTTATA